TTTTTTTTTTTTTTTTTTTTTTTTTTTTGGCCAGTTAAATTCGGTTCAAGCCAATTTTGTTTTTAATGAAACAATTCTGAGGTTTCTTGCATGCAGTATTCTTTTTTTTTTTTGTCTTTCTATTTCTAATTGACAGTAACGTCAACTGTATTGTTTTTTGATGTACTATTACTGCTTGCCTCCTGTATTCTAAATTCGCTTGTATTGAGACTTCTTTAGGCTCGCCATTATCCTACAGTTCACCTCCGAATAAAGGAAGTTCTCAGGGAAGGGCAGTTCAGTCTTATTTTTCAAATACCTATTCAGTTGCTCACTGTGTCCCAAATTGTTTAACAAATGTTCCTTATAATCAGTTTGAGTATTTCAGTATTTTTAGGAATCTTTATGAATCGCCAAAAAGTAAGAGGATTTTTTCACATCAGTATGTTGGTCATCCGGGTCGCTGTCAATTTTTTATAGATGCTTAAAATGTTTTTAGGTAATAAATCGCCGTTGTTTCCACTTTTGTCTCTGACTCATTTGATCGGTAATACTGCGACAGTATTGATGAGCTGGTCATTTTATTTGTTAGGTTTTGATTTTTTATAAGAATGGAAGTGCTTATGCGCGCCTCGGGGTGCTAGAAATTCAGTAAACAAAAGTGTTTGAAAGACTTGTTGGGATGATTCGCTGGTGGCACTGATCAGTTCATTTCTGAATGAAGTTTCTCGTGGCGTGGAAATTATTTTTTACCCAGCCTACTTATTTTTCTTGTTTTATGACTTTAGTTTGCTATTCCACAGCTAAAGCATTTTGATACTTATTTTTTTGAAAAAAACGGATTTTTTCTGCAGCTGCTGATTGGGAGTGCAAAGATGTTATATTGCTTGAAAAGTATATTTGTGTTTCGATGCATTTAAGTCGTCAATGGAATTAAGCTTTTGGGAGTGGAATTCTTTACTTTATAAAGTCAGGGTAGCGGTGCTGAGGTTTTTGTTCTTCTTTAAACCATGATTTTTAAGATGTCAAAGAAAGAGAAGGAAAGACGTCGAGCTTTTTTTGATATAACTATAGATGGAAAGGTAGCAGGTCGTATTGTTTTTGAGCTTTTTAACGATGTAGCCCCAAAAACCTGCGAGAATTTTTTATTGCTTTGCACCGGCACAGCAGGAAATGGAAAGCTTAGTGGCAAGCCATTACATTACAAAGGTTCCACGTTTCATCGAGTAATCAAGAATTTTATGATACAGGTAAATGGTACTTTCAATAAACACATGTTGCTTTTAATCTGTTTAAACTGAAGCTTAT